TCACCTCACCACACCTCAAACCTCGTGCACCTAAATATTAACACAAATGATGTAATAGTCTAGGCAAAGTCCTTATTTGTGCAATATGATAGAAAATCAGCAGTCAGGTTATGTAAAAAAAGGAAGAAAAGACAATATGATTTCAATAGCCCCAAAGAATTTAAGCTTCAGACATATAACCATATTTTATATATGCAATGTCAATTTGTTCACTGGATGCATATATTAGTTATATGACTGATCAATACTGATATGTGTTTATAAAAAAACAGATTTGAAACAGAACCCAGTTTCTTGGCCTATTAATGCTTTAATTCACCACAGTGATACAATAAAAGAAATCTTCCCCATCTCTGCAACATTCCCTATGAGGTGGAAATATGGTGATAACATCAGCAATATACTCAACATCTTTTCTCCATAGCCACTGAGGTGTTACAAACTCCCTACACTGTCATAAAGAGGTGTGAAGTTCACAATGAGTCACATGATTTCCTTTGTCAACTCATGTCATCTTGATAGATGTGGCCATGTTAAGGCCATAATTAAATGCCATCCAGAAATTCTGAGAAAATTGCACGAAAAAGTTCTAGTTTAGTTTAAACAGGGTCATACACTTCGTTTCCATGGCAATAAATTCAAGTTCACTGCAAAAAAAGTTTCGTTTGGAAGTAAAGTTCTGAAATTACCTTCATCATATTTCAAACAGATTCTAATGGGGTATGTTTAATAATCAGATTCAAGTTTCTGGCCTCTGACATGCACCATCCTAATCACAAACTAATTGACGAGTATAATTTACTTTAAATTAGCATCCATAATATGTTGATGGACAGCTCAACTGTTGTAGCATACAGCCCATAAGACTTATTGATATTACAATGATGAAACTGATGTTATATATAGGCACATTCATATCAGAGGGGTGGTTGGGTAGCCTGGTGGTTAAATAGTTTGCTCATAAGACTGGAGTCCTTAGTTCTGTTCCCAATTGGAACAATAAGTGAAGCTCATTGCTGGTGTCCCCCGAGGTTGTATTGCTGAAACTGACTGACTGACTGAGTTTGGTTTTACGCCGCTTTTAGCAATATTCCAGCAATATCACGGCGGGGGACACCAGAAATGGGCTTCACTCATTGTACCCATGTGGGGATTCGAACCCGGGTCTTCGGTGACAAGCCAACGCTTTAACCACTAGACTACCCCACCGCCCCGTATTGCTGAAACACTGTTGAAAGCTGTGCGTAATCATACTCACTGATTAACACTAGACATAGGCACAAACCTGCTTCATGGTTTTATAGCTAGAAAATTCTAGGAATATTCATAATTACACAGCACCTCTTAGTTATAATCCTCAACCACATATCAACATTTGTTAATGACAACAGTGTCAGGTCAACACTACAACCATTACAACACAACAATGCACAGCAAGATTGCTATCAAAGTAATAAAACCAGAATATAGAAATTTCTTGGCAATAAATCAACAAGGAGAAAGTAATCAATGCAAAAACTGTACAAAAGATGAAACATTTAAGACCGTAAAGCTTGAATGATTTAATTACAAGTAAAGGTATCAGTGAGACCAGACCTCCATGAAAAGATGTCATGCCAGTGAACTCCGGTGTACCAGGGTATATCTATCTGTGCTGCAATATTTCATAACTTCAAAGTTCTCCAAGGGTTTGGTGACAGAATATCCTTTGCCACCTCTAGATCCATTCAAACTGTTGGTGTCTGTCAAGGCCAGTGTCTGACAGAGAGATGGTCCCTCACACACTGGGACAAACATATCAGTTTCATCTTACTTCGAGTGTCACACCCATAAAGTCTCACCTGAGTGATATCAGCAAATATCTCATCCCAACTGTAGCTTATAATACACTATTAAATGTACATTGAATAGGGATAGTAGTAACATAGGGGGTGTCTTAAGATGTATATACCCTAGATAGTGTAAAAAGTAGGTACAATACATGTATAATCCCTTGAACATCATAGTAGGAGACCGTCAAGTTTGTAGATGCTGTACGAATCAACCACTACAAAACTTTTCATTTCCACTGTAAAAACATATGATTATGTTTATACAACTGCAACACTATACATTTCGGGGTATGGGATATAATGTAGAACTATTGAATGATACCACAAATTGTTATTCATCAACTTGCACATTGTGCAGGCAGTAAAAGGTATATTATCTACTTATATTTCAAAGAGATTGCGTTAATAGACATATATGTTCTTGGCCACTTGTGAAGTAGAAATTAGAGACATAAAGTATGTGAAATCTTTTATCATACAATTAATTATTTTCCTTTAAATTGTATTTATAATGCTGATTGTAGAATAGACCCTTGTAGACAAAAACTATTCTGGTTTGCTATTAATAACACATATACTAGTATACCACAGTCCTGATCGGGACAATAGCAACGGCATATGTGTATCTTATATCTCCACATTGTGTAAAATGAGTTGACAGTTATGCTGGTACATAAAAGCTATATCACAGGAGTTGACAGTGTAATCTTGAACCAGTGGTGGATATGTGACCACCAACACAATGAACTTGTCATTGTCATTAACTTTATGCTTGTATTTTTTTTGTGATGAAAGAACTCCTTAAGATAGTTATGTTTTGTGGACAAACGTGTTTTTATGTCAACAGAATTACAACTTTTTGTTGTCAACAGGTTAAACTTGTTCAGAAGTTTCTTTATAATATTAAAACAAATATGTAGATATATTATCATTTGAAAAACATTTTCTATAAGCATTTTTTATTTTAAAAGCTCTTTGTAGAGCTTTATTCTCCAAAGTGAAAAAATATTTTTAATTGCTTTTATTAATGCATCTTGGCATGTTTCTTAAAAAATAAATATGTGGATAGTTTTGTTCCCTTGCAGATGACACTAACAAATGTAATATTGTTCCTACACAGAGCTTGAGATGACGCCATCTTTCTTTATAAGAGATCATTCCAATATGGACAAAACAAAAGTGACAAGCCATGAAGACAAACCCCGTTTGTTAACGTCAGATTCAAGTGCGACTATCCAAATGCATGCTTCTGCCCAATCACAGCGATGATTTTCTCTTCCAGTTTGTTTGGTATCATTTCATTGGTTGAGTGAAAGCACTGCGCTGACTCCTTCAATCCATGTCGTTATCGTCACAGAACACATATAATTCATCACACCACATGCAGATGTAGTTTCTCAGTTTACACATTCACAAGTTGTGACACGGCAGATGCAACACTTAACACAATCAAAAAGTCATGCAGCAGCACTTAAGGATACCAGGCAACATATGCATCAAGTTAACTGTCAGTCAAAGTGCATGTCACTCATTTGATAATGTCACTTCACGTAAGGGCCATTTAGTTCGAAAATACTTGGCAAAATCTTAAACATTTCTTTTCGCCAAATTTTATCATAAAAACATTTTCCTCTTTTTAGAATAAAAACTGCCATGGTATTTGATTTGAATGGGCTAGCTTGTGCCAAGATCATAGAACATGACTGTATGAAAAGAAGGTTTGAATGGGCAGGTGGGCAGCTGAGCTCTCAATATATATACCCCACGCTTGTTTAACAAGGAACAGATACACAGCACCCAATAAGTCTCGACTCCCCTAAAATCCGCATATATTGCCTTCAATTGAATTGAAAATGCATACATTCCCCTGGACCAACTGAATACAAGCCATTGGCGAACTCGCTTGAACAAACTGTTACAAAATCCCCCTTCCCAACCTCCCCATTCAATAGGGCACGAATTGCGATTGTGTTCACGGGCCATGCTCGCGAACAAGTGATCTTGTTTGCGCGTCTGTTCTGAAAACAGTCAGTAGGAATACGTCATGTTCAAGCCTCATACGAACAATCAGGGGAAACTATCGCGTGTTGTAAGGGCCTGTTCCCGTCAACAGCTTCCCAGAGGTTATAGGTCATGGTGGCAGGTAGCTAGGACACTTCTCTCGTATCCATTTCACTAAACCGTGCAAATGCCCTTGGATGGGACACACCGATTTGCATGCGTATTTAGATAAACTCCCATGGCTGTCAGTCCACTTGTTTCTCATGTTGGTCTGCTTTAATGCATTCAATGTCCGAGTAATTAAATTACCTGTGTCAAGCAATTCACCTGAGTTGATGACCTCTCACTGACCATCCTCCCATTGACAGGTGAGCTATGCGCTGTCCTCGTCAAACAACAATACAAATACACCTGATTGGAATTTTATCATCCGAAAGAACTTCTGATGGGTGTGCATGGGTGGTCATGCTCTGTCGCTCTTTACACACCAATGTCTGATTGGTGGGATTAGGATATAATTCTGTCCTTTATTTCTGATGAACCAAGATGATGACCAGTGGTTTGTGCTGGAGACATTGTCAGGTGTTCATCTAATTGGGTCTATTGAGAATCCTTGTTTGAAACTATCTAACATCCATACATCCTTAATCTCTCAGTGCCAATTCAGGTTTCTCGCTGAACTCTGAGATCATGACACTGAGATTATGCTGGACATAAACTCTGAACAATAGCATTACTGGCTTCGGTGTTGATTGTAGAATGTCAGGCCTCAGTGAGGTACATAACTACTGAATCTCCACAAGGTGACATTATCAGCTACTGGTTCCTTCTAATAACATCTGTGTCTATCTGATAACATTTATCACCTATCAGTGAAACTAATCGGAATCAACTGAACATATACACCAAAATAATCACAATAGGGAGGAATTCCGTAACCATATCAGGATCTGCTTGGTGTGAAATTTCAGATTTGCCCTGATTCTGATCCTTGTGTTCGTGGGAACCACATCCATACTCCTGTATCATAAAAGACACATCTACACTCTGTGCTTCTTGTCTTCTTGTCTTCTCCCACATCCAGATGAAACATTGTGATTTAACTGACCACTGTTTAAAGTGATGTAGAATTCATGCACTCCTTCATGAAGTGATGCTGCTACTTACCACCATCTTTGAGGGCGTCCCCGGACTCGGAGCTCTCCGCCTCCGACTTGATGTTTGTATTATGTCCCTCATCAGACATACTGTCATCTGGAGGCTATGTCATCCCATCTACAACACAAAACACACACTGTCACACACCAAGAACACTAATAGCATTACAGTATTTATCTATCTGTTCTATGAAATGTCACTTAGCAATAGTCCAGCTTCTTTGAATAATCAAATCTGGACAAGTCAGTCCAGGGATTGACATCACGAACATTGATCTACAACACTGGAATACAATGACATCCATCAGCAAGCCTGTCCAGTCTATTCTGTAAGTCACCATTTACAACAATCATGGGTTGCTGAGGACCAAATCTAGCCAGATAGCAGCACCATGACAACAAATTACAAGAATCACACATCTTTACCTGCACACACTATAACCATGACAGGGTGAGCTACAGTACATGTATCTGTACCATGTTACTTTGAATACAGGACAGCTTTAATAAGTGTTACTAAACATGTATATAAAAGATATAGTTTATATATATTTCATGACAGTCGATCTTTTATCCTGACATAATTATTGCAAGTGTAACATTTCAAAAGTATCAATAGACAATATTGACACCGTGACAAGTATGCCATATTGCAAAAAGAAGAAGTAGGCTCAGTAGCTCACCTTATTTCTTTCTGTAATATTGGCAACATAAAGTCAATTAAAGGGTAACAAGAACAAGCAACAGTAATTAACAGAGAAGAGGATAAATATTTCATAAATGATTCATGCAAAGTATGGAATAATGGGTTAAATAATATTATCAATATGGCTGTTGGCGCCAAAGAGTTTTGAGTCCACTAGCCATAACATTGGTTCTTAAAAATAGTTTCTGTGCATTTTACTGTAACTATATAGACCGCTATTAGCTGAACATCCCAGACCAAAAAGAATTTGACCAAGTTTGGGCTTTCGGCCAGTGGCAAAATTGCATACTGTCCTTTTTGTTTTATGGACAATAAATCTGGAACCATCTAGCAAAGTGCCATGCTCTTATGTCTAATGGGCCTTTTCGTTTCAGAGCCAGTGGAATCATTTGATAAACAACAGGCCATGCCACAAGCTAAATATTTCTCCATACATGATTGTCAACCATTACACAGGGAGCTGCAGTATATTTTCAGCTATTGTTATTCGGATGTCCGAGATTAAGGGACAGTTCCAGGTGGTACCCTGCTGTCGGATCTCAGTTACATGTTTGAGTCAGGCCAGACTTCCTGTGCCTGATGGCAGCATCAACAACAGGTGAAGGGTGGGATGGGCAGGGTCAGAGGGTACAGCAGGATTATCTGCTCTTGCCTGGAGGTCAGAGCCGCACCTCACACATTAGCCACTGTGGCATTGCTTTCTCATTGCATAAATACAATAGTGTTTTGGAGGGATCACTGACCATCCAATCTTACACTGCTATTGAGGTGGCAAGACAAGCTGTGTTGTCAACGGCTTCATAATCAGACATAAAGGAAGGGCTACTGTATAATGGAAACAGTCAGGCCTCCTTCATAAAAACCATGGAGACTCATATCCTTTGACCTTGATTGTAAAATAATGTTTTATGTGAGGGAGTGCAGTGAATGAGCATGCAAGTGATCTGAGTGGATGTTTTGTTGGACATTAGCTTTTTACAGCAAGAAAATGGTTTGCAAACTTGTAGGTCAGGTAACACTAGGGAGCCATATTGATGAGAAAGGGTGGGTCATTTGTTTTTCATGGGTCAATAACCTAGAGCCCCTGGCATTCTGAAGTCAGTTTGAATTATCTGCTGAAACAAATTCCATTGGGTATGAAAGATAGAGTAGTGTCAAATATTGTTGGAAAGGATCACAGAAAGTAAATGGTGGCACCAGTATACAGGTGTTTTTGAAAAGCCAAACTTTGATATGATGCCTTTCACAGAAACATATATCCTATAAAGGTGAAACACATCCCATAAAATGTGGGTGTCAGCTCTAAAATACCACACAGATGTGTGCAACATTGTCAACAGCACTAACACAGAACCACCGCTCTTACTGCTCATATGAGTGAGTGAGTGAGTGAGTTTAGTTTTACGCCGCACTCAGCAATATTCCAGCTATATGGCGGCGGTCTGTAAATAATCGAGTCTGGACCAGACAATCCAGGGATCAACAGCATGAGCATCAATCTACACAATTAGGATACTATGACATGTGTACTGCTCATATGCTTTCCGAGAACAAGTATGAAGTTTGAATAAACATCAGCCCTGCAGGAGTTGCCTACATCTACATTATGTTGTATCATTTGTGGCATCTAGATCCCAACTAGGATGAGAATCCCTGAAACAGGTATCTGTCAGACTCTGGACACACCATCACAAGGCTTCCATTCCAGTGAGCTAAAACCCTGAATACATGAGTTTTTACATATTCCTGAAACACTGTCCAATGGTGATGCTAAAGATTTCACAAGTTTTGTTCTGTAATTGCAGATGTGAAATGATTGTTTATGAAGGAAAGGGACACTCATACAATGTATCCATTGACAACCTTTCTGTAGTCTAAGAGCTCAATATGGTGGCTTAACCTTCTGAATCTCACTCTGCTTCTAGCCATTCCACACAAAAACATGCTTTCAACAAATCATTGAGGAGTAAAATTTATGTAGATTACATTAAGCTGTACAAAGAGCTGTTTAAACAGGATAAAATGTCAACTTATTTGATTCCAAATGAGTGAAACATTGTGGCTTGTGTGTACTACACATAGTCAATAACACCAGTTTGTACACATTGCAGACAGTTTCTAAGATCAACCACTGGAAAGAATGACAGAAAACTGCTATCTATTTAAAACTTACAAACAAGCTTTTGTCAGTAAGTAAAAGGTTAAACTTCCACAGGATTATTCAGATTAAATTAAGTGTGTATTATAGATCAGAGGCTGCTGCTAAACTTTACAGCTGTATACGTCTTTTTGTTAAATTCACGATTAATGTTCCCATCCTGTGCTGTCCTCAACAAAGAGTTGCGTACTCAGTGCCCGTACCCACAAATACCCCCGTGGCTAAATCACCAATAACCTACCAAACCTCCACCTATAAAGCAAGCCATGTAGATTGTACACCAACGCTACAAAAAACATTCACCAGCAATACAGAAAACGCAGTGCGAGAAATACCATTAAAACTTTTTAAACTATATTTGCTTTGAATGTAGAAGAATTCCAAACGACCTCCCATGAGAAAAAGATTGGACACAAATCCCTTGAATAGACAATACTTTAAGCTTTTCATCACACAGCAACCAACATGAAATGAATCATAGTCAATTATGGGCATGTAATATATTTTATGTTATATTTTCCTAAGAACATCAGTTTTAACCTGACACACCATATGTTTTACCTGTAATGTACAGAACAATGAATTCAGGATTTCAGACTGGCTTCATCATCATCTTAAATAAAATCAAAGTGACAAAATCCCTTTGGTGCTCATAAGAAATCTACACTAATAGCAGAGTTGATTGTACAATTCTGATTAAACCATGAACACAGGTTTGTTAATCGCTATCAAAGTGGTCATAAAAGGGAAAGAACATGGGGACTATAACTAAATTACAGAGGTGTTTTAACAAAGTCATTATGGGGAGTGAAAGATGTCCTAACTTTAATACTAGTTTTCACCTGCTCATTCTTTCATAGAGAATCATTTGATCATATACAGGTTTTTTTATGTTGACTATATATGAGATGATGTACAGCCATTTCTGGGTTCTCCATGTGATTTAACACACTTGGAAAAGAAGTACTTCCTGAACCTTGCAAAAGATATTTCTGCAATTAAGTTTGTGTGAACACATTGAGAAGTATTCAGTCTTTATTCTTTTATTAGTGTATGTTGAAGGGCCCATTCTACATAACAAAGTTCTGTAGAGAGAGAGAGAACTTCACAATACATCAAGCAGCATACAGAGGATGTTAGTGAACTGCTTCATACCTAATACCTATACTTTAAGTGTAAATACTTCAATTTTGAACAATGGATACATTATTTCAGGACATGAACATATTAAAACTATATAAGATGGGAAAAGAAAAAGTATGTGTATATTGCAAGACAGTGTTTGTATGTGGAAACATATGACATATCATGACAGGACCATGATAGAGATTTCTCGAAGTCTTATTGAAAAAAATAGAGTGTTTGATCATTACACAGAGATGAATATGTTGTCTTTTACTGAACCAAATATGCATACCTAATAATTTGTTAACTCTGTTATACCAATATTATTATACTATTGCAATAATTTTCCAGAATAATGTCAGTAGGACACTTTCAATACCGTAGCAAATTTTAACATGACTTTCTGTATTGTTAGCAAAATTTGAAAAATCTTTTAGGCATATTGGATGGCAATAAGTGAATATCCTAGTAAATAAACTGGTCTGATATACTTCTATTGTATTGTGTCCCTTCTTGTACATCTTAATTTCTTTATAGGATGAGTATTTGATTTAATACAAATGATCTAACAGACACATTAAGATTGTAAATGGTCTATCAATCAACATGCATCTCTATACCGCAAAGTATTGTGATGTCATGTGCCAAATTGTGTGGCTGGTATGATAATTGGTTTTGTTTCATAATATCTTCATGGGTTTCTTGGCATTTTAATATGATAATAAAGTCCTCCGCATTAAATTTGATACTGAAGAAAAGAACATATCACAAAAGAAAATATCACTAAAACGTGATAAATCAATGAAACTGTTATTTCTCACGTTTCATCTGGTACCTAACACTCTTAAGAACCAACTAATCAATCAAACAAGCTATCATTCTTCTGACATAAAAACATGTAACTATCTTTCAGTGTAATAGAATACATGTTCAACACCACAGATGTGATATAACTTGGTCATTAACATGCCAAATGTAAAGTTAACAAGGATTTTAAGTTCATACATGAGCCTGTGCCTTATCCGAGAGGCAAATAAATGAAGTCAATATCAACAGTGTCACATTGAAAGCCTCCTCTGTGTTAACTGTGGGAACTGACCGTGCACAGTGGCCTTTAATGACAAATACA